GGTCGCCCGTCTTATACAGCCTACCGCATCGCCCATGGTAGCCTCCGCCGCCTGCAGCAGCCAGGCAGGATCATTGATAAAAGCTGACTGCGTCTTCTCAGCGTCGTTAAGATAGCCGCGCGCAAGGATCGGGCCCTCTACTAGCAGCTCTCCAACTAAGCCTAGCGGGACAAGCTGATTGTAGTCGTCAGGGTCTACCACCCAGCATACCGAACTAACTGGCTTTCCGATTGTTCCTGACTTGAATGACTGAGCATCTGTGTATACTGTACAGCAGATGCAGCATTCTGTAGGTCCGTATGCATCTATCACTTGGACATAACTAGCCCATCTCTGCCAATCTGCCAAAGTAACATGTTCGCCAGCTAGTATTACAACGTTTAGAGAAGGTACCTCGGTTGGTTCTAGGAGCCTTGCGACAGACGGTGTAAGCACTGCCCAGTTAACATTCATAGCACGTATAACCTGGGACAGACTACCGTGTCTATCGGCCTCAGAAGGCACGCAAACACAGCCACTAGACAGTAGTGTCGTCATAATCTCAGCAATACAAGCATCAAACGTGTAGGAAGCGAACTGGAGAGCTCGTGTGTGCTGTGTAAGCCCGAATCTCTTTCTCTCACGGCAGCAAGTCGAGAGTGCTTGGTGTTCTATAACAACGCCTTTAGGCATTCCAGTACTTCCAGACGTGAATATCACGTAGGCCGCATTGCTTGGAGTAATCATTGCTGTAGAGCCGATGCTAGGTTCATCGCTCAAGAGAGTGATAGATGCTGCGCTTACGGTGACTACAGCGCACTCTGAGCTGGCCCAGAGCATCCCAAACTGTGCCGATGTAAGCACCACTTTAGCTCCTATCTGCTTGAAGATGTCTTCGTGCCGGCTGCGTGGATGGGCGGGATCCAGTGGTACGAAGGCGCCGCCGGCCTTGAGCACGGCCAGCATGGCCACCACTGTCCACATCGACTTCTCGAAGCACAGTGGCACCATGTCTTCGGGCTTGACGCCGATCTGGACAAGGTGACTTGCTAGGTTGGTTGATAGTACGTCGAGCTGGCTGTGTGTCAGCTCGCCGTCCCAAGCACAGATGGCGGGCGCATTAGGCTGAGCTGCTGCTTGTTCGGCGAACAGGTCGTGGACGCAGCGCTCGACTGCCAGTGGAACGTCTGCATTCCACTCCCATAGCTGCTGTTTGTCCTCGGGCGTCAGTGTGTCGATGTCAGCCACCTTCATGTCTGCGTCTGCTGCAGCCAGCTGCTGCAAGACAGAGTTGAGCTGGCTGAGCGTCTTCTCGACCACCCAGTTCTCGACAACCCGCGGATCAAAGCTGGCCGTGATGTGCACACCCTCTGCAGCCAGCACGCACTGCAGCGTCAGTGCATAAGTTGTAAAGCCTCGTTGCTCGTTATGACTGCGCCACTCTCCTAGCGCATTGTTGCCTTCGAGTGCTTTGCCTGCAGGCTGCTCCACCAGCAGCGTTCGGAAGTTACAAGCATGTTGAGCGCTCGTTCCCATCTTGGCGATCCGCTGCAAGCCTGTCTGCTCATGCACCATCATATCTATCGCTTGTTGCTGCAAGCTTTCTAGAAAGCCAAACACTGTCTGTTCGCCCCGCAGGCGCACTCGCACTGGCACAGTAGCGATGGTCGGCCCCAACATCCCCTCGATGCCAGCAACCGGTGCGTTGCGTCCTGTGACCGTGGCGCCAAACACTACATCGTCTGAGTTAGTGTAGCAGCTGGCAACGATGGCCCATGCAGCGCGAACAAGTGTTGACATCGTCGCGTCAAGCGGCGCTTCAGGGAGTGCAGGGCACTGGTACTCTATTGTCGTGTCTGCAACCGGCTGCTGCACTGCTGGCGGTAGCGGAGGGAACAGGGTCGCCTCGCAGTCTGCCAGAGTCGCTTGCCAGTACGCTGCAGCCGCAGCCTGGTCCTGCCGGCTGAGGTGCTTGATGAAGGCGTTGAAGCCTGGCTGCTGCTCGACCCCGCCGCCGCTGTAGGCCTTCGCGACTGCGTCGACGATGCGAGGCAGCGACCAGCTGTCGTACAACGCGTGGTGGACTGTCCACACAAACCACCTCTTACCTGTATCTTTATCATCAACCAAAGCATATCGTGAAAGCGGCTCGCCAAGCCCCATCGAGGCTGCTTTTTCCGTCTCAAGATGCGTTTCGAGGCTCTCAGCTTCTGTCCAATTCATTTCTTCTACCATCACGGCCTGCAGCAAGCCAAGCTCGCCGTGTTGCACGATCCGCGTACGTAAAACTGCTGTAGACTGGACAACTTGCTCCCACGCAGTCTGGAAGGCGCCTTTGTTGATGTCGTCTCGAAGTTCCAGCACGCTCTGCATGATGTAGTCACCTGCTCGCTTTGCTGTCAGCGACATCAGCTCCTCCTGCATCGGCGAGCACGGGTAGGCGTCCTCTACGAAGTTCGTGTCCATGCCGCAGCTAGCTGCGACTTCCTCACGGACACGCACAGCGTCCGCGTCCGCGCCCAGCAGAGAGAAGGCAGCTACCTCCTCCGCCTGGACCTGAGCTTGACCGTTCTTGAGTCGAGCCAAGTCCATCAGCCTAGGCGTGCGGAACAGGTCTGCAACGGACTGCTGCTGCACACTAGGTTGAGCTGCTGCTTGCTCGGCGAACAGCTCGTGGATGTCGCGCTCGACGCTCTGCGGTGCGTCCCCGTTCCAGTGCCATATTTTTTGGGTCTCGTCGCCCTTCAATGGATGCGTCTGAGGAATCATGGCGTTCGTCTTGTATTCCAAGGCTTTTATATAGGTGAGAAGGTTTCCTATTTCTGGATTGTAGTTTAAGTTAACAGAGATTTACCTCTCGTGTTTCGTTGTTTCACCGTTATGCGTCTAACAGAGACTGATTCTGTTAAAGGATAAGTGTTCAGACGCTCTGTTTCTCGCCTGGTTTTCCTGATCATTTATTCAATTTTCCGGTCAGAAAGGAGGATGTGCCTGCAGGTGATTTCACACCGCGTACTAAAAGATGACCCGCGCGTCCCAAATGGACGATATCTCATAGCCCCTCAATCTGAACTGTTCAAGCTTGTCAATGCAGATCTCAACGCATTGACAGCTGCATTGTCATCAAAACTGTAGACATCCTCACCTTTACATGCTGTTTGTCTATTCCTCTCACCTAGTTGTCACTGCCAATTCAGTGATCGCGAAGCCAGCACTTACTCTCTGGCCATACTTCGAAATGCATTGTCGGAGCTTGGCAGCTTATCATCTAGTTGAAGGCCACACATCGTACTATCGTGCTCTCTGTACACTCATACTCTAGCTTCTAACCCAGGCGCGTACGTATATGCGCAACATGAGGAGGACGACGTTACCGCCCCCTCGACGGTCCGCAGAGATATCGAGGGTGGGTTCGCGAAATTCTAGTTCTGAATGTCATGCTGCTGCTGTGTTCGATGCATATGCACGTAAGACTGACGACAGTCTGTAAGTAATATGCGTTCGGTGACCGCAGCAACTCCATCGCGCAAATGCTCGCCCGCTGGGCACGCCAAGTTATCTTGGTATCGAGACTTCCAATCTAGTGTCCCTTGTCTGTTAAGAATAGTAGCAGACGATCCGAGTTTTTCAAAGTGGGGATTAGAGATACTTAGACGACGCCGAGCGTTGAGGGGAAACCATAGGTACGGCAGACGCGACAGACGAGGCAACGCGCCTCTACGAGCCTGAAATCACAGCATGCAGTCAGTAGGATCACTATTGAGACAAACTGAGGGGCAAATCATAGATGGTGGTTGAAGAAAACGGCAGATTTTGCCGGGTACAGATGGTCTTGTTCAAGAGATGAAGTGGGGCGGCACGAATCAACGTCTGCACCGCGCCCGCTGTCTCCTACCCCTGTCACTCTCGGCAAAGCTGCGCAGTTCACGACTGAAACCAAGTAAGATTCAATAAATAAATAAATGAATAAAATAAATCAACCTCTTGGCTCTATAGCTTCTGTACCACTTCGGGAAGTTTTTTCGCAATTTAGAACATGGTATGAGATCCTCGAGCTGTGATGGTTTTGCATAAGTTAGGCTAGGTCGGCGCAGTCAGCATACCCGTCAACACACGAAGGGTAGCAAGGCGTAGAGATTGTTGCCTTCGTTAGGGCTAGCTCGGCGCAGTCAGCATACCCATCAACCCACACAGGGTAGCAGGGCGTAAAGATTATTGCCTTCGTTAGGCTAGCTCGGCGTAGTAAGTATACTCTCTAACATAAGTAGGTGGAGGAAGTGGCTGTGCGCAGGTGCCAAGCCGGTATTAGAACTGGTTTTTCCATCGTAGCATGTACGGCCCCGTAGTAGTGCACACCGGCACGTAATGCACACCCCACGAACATTGATGCGTACTCCGCACCCCCCTATCACTCAACACCACGATACTAGTAGAAGACTCTCTTACGAGACTAGATACTTTAGACTCTAAAGAAAATATTTTGTATAGAAAACTTGCAGCAAAATAGTTGTTGTTGCTCAATGTTCAGCCGCAGGCATCGTAATGTATGCAGTACGCGTGAAGCCAAGGCATAGTAGTAGAACTAGCAGGTTCTCCACCCACGCAATGGAATAGATGTTTTACAGTACATTGAATCGCTTACAGAAAGACACTTTATGCCTACAACGGAGATTCTTGTAAGAATAATCACGTCGCTATGCTAGCGGGTGCAAAGTGATCGATGGGTGTTGCGTTTGTTTCATCGCTGCCCAAACGACCTTATTACTGTCTGGTGTGCGCCTATGGAAAAGCTGCGTCACAAAGCTGCTTCCTATAGTTCCTTTCGCTCATATTTCGATCTGGTACATAGTACAATCAAGCACCATGGGGTAGGAATAGAGAGCACGTATATTATAGACAACAAGGGCCTTATAATTAGAGTGATGTGAAAGAAAGTCTGAATCTTTAATAAGCAGCTACTTAAACTCTAAAGAATTCAAGCTAACATATTATAATGGTAACAGGAAGTGAATGACATTGGTAGCAGCAGTAGGAGCTGATGGTGTTGCAAAAGGTGGTGGGGTGTGCATCAAGCGCCGGTGTGCACTACGAGGCCGTACACGTTAAGTTACGCAAACAACGCGGCTTACGGTGCTGCAAACCAAGATGGGTGATAACACTGTGGGCTCAAATAAGACGTTACTACGAGTGCGCTCTTCCTGTAGGCACAGGAGATGTATGTTTGTAGTCCATTCGAGGTACTCATGTCATCTTTCTTCGCAAGCGCCCTGAGCGTCTCTAGATATTGCTGCGCGTAGGCGCCTTGGTTCTGGCTCTTGAGGTATTGGACCAAGCCTCGGGCAGCTACATCATCGCTAGGAGCGTAGTGTCTCACAGGAATGTAAACCTTAACATCAGGGAGTTGAGACCTTGGTCCTACATCAAAGTAGAAGAGCAAGCCTGCAGTCTCGTGCGGGTTGTAGGGGAGTTCTCTGTCTGTAGGGAAGTCGTCAGGCAGGTTTAAGATCAACTTCCAGAGTGTATGGAGCTGCTTCTCGGCTTCCGTAACGTCCTTGCGTCGGCCACCGATGGACATAACGCGGCGGACGAGCTCAAAGGTGGTGACAAGGGACCGCGAGTACACCTTCAGACGAGAATCGACAGGACTAATACAGTCGATACCAAGCATGAAGGGCTTGACGGTCCGACCGTAGATATCTTCACGGAGGAAGCTGTTCAGCTGGTTCATGGCTGCGAGATTGGGACAACCAGTGGAGACAATCGCCCTTGAGATCTGATCGCTGGCGCTGTTCCCATGGGCATTCACAGGGATGAAATAGGCTTTGACGCCCAGAGAACCACCTGTCACCTCAAAAGCCACGAAGAGGGTGGACTGCCTCGCAACCCCAGCTTCGGAGGCGGGGGTACCAGGGCCCAGAAAAGCGTGCTTGAAGTGGACGAACCATTCGAGATCGACGCCGGTCTGGCCGCTCCTACATAGCTGAGCGAGGAAGTCCGAGGTAGCGTTCTTGTTCAGAGGATCCAAGGCCTCCCCGGCGCGGTGGCCGATGGGCTCGATGCTGTAGCGGACCTCGGGCGCGCTATCACCGAAGCCCCATTTCCAGGAGTACTCAATGGGGGAGTGGTCGTCGGTCATGAAACTCTTCCAAATGGCCTCAGGGCCGATCGGCTTCGGACCTAAGCGAGGAGTCACCCATCGATAAAAGAAGCTGAGGGCTTTGAGCTGGTCGAGGTCGGAGTAACCAGCGGCGGACAGCAGGGTCTCGAGGTGGCTACCCACTACTTCCCACCACCAGTTGCTATCCGGGGTTCGTGGAAAGGGGCCTTCGTCCGTGACTGGGACTGGTACATTGTCGATTAAAGTGGGCTGACTAGCAATCGTGACCATGATGGACGATGGGAGTGTTAAATGTTACTGTGTAGGACCGGAAGAGGTAGCAGCGAGGATGAGTGAGCAAGGATGTAGAGGAATACCACAGCAAATATACAGATAGACGACGGCCAGTCGAAACTCCGAGCCGAAGAGGTTCGAGATATTCGATCAGACACATTGATGCGGCCCTCCAATTCCCTTAATCAAGAAAAACGCGTGGAACATGTCGTCCTGGGGCGGAGCTCGGCACAAATGCTAAGACCTGATTGCCTGACCTCTTCTTTGTCTAATCAACTCGCATGTTACCACCGGTTGCAGCTCATTTGCATTAGGACAACGTTCTGGGTTACCAAGTTAGATCCTACCTGTGCTCTTTTGGCCCCGAGGTACATTGTTCATACGACACCAATCATGGGCTAGTCTTGGTCTTACACGTTGCAGAAGCTGACTGTACTTGGCTGGGAGAATTTGCCAATAATGCGTCACCAATACGGATCTACAACAGTGTCATAGACACCACATCAGCGCCAAGTCACATTACGCTCTTGGTATAAAGGAACAGCCATATTAAATCCAAGCGAGTGGCCTGATTCTTCTTTTCATTCTCCATATGCTCAAGTTTGATGCGTATATATAGTAAGCGTAGTTCTGACTTACTACATCCTGGAACACTTCCAATAGTCGTCATAATATAGGCCTGGTAAGCACTAATAGGGATTCTGCATAGTCTTCCCTTCTCAAGCACTTGGTATAAGCAATAACCCACAATAATGCGTGCGATCACATCTTCCTCAAATTGTAACGTCACTAGATTGAATTTGGTGCATAAAACCGTGTCATCACAAGCTTGGAGCTCAGTCCCTCCCCAGCATCTTTGTGTCTCCAGCGCCTGTTTACCGACTATGCAAGGGTAGATTTATTTACACTCGCTTGCATAATTGGCTTCCGGTTCACGCATCACTTGAAACACTCAGCCTAAAAGGGCCTTGCATCGCTTACCGCAGATTTGCCTTTATCAGGACTAGTTGCAGTATAAGTGTCTGCAACGGTCCGCAGAGACGAAAGCTCTCTAAAACATGTGATCTGTCCATAACAAAATAATACACACAGTAAGTGAGCCAATTACGGCAGCGAAGACAGGAACACGATAAACACAACATAACTCAAACTCTGCAAGCAAATTGCCACTGAATTATGTGTTATTTTGTGAACGAGTAGACCACTAGATTGTACTGCTCCCATCATTGTCCTTCGCCTCAATGTCCGCTCCTCTCTCCACCAGCAGTCGCACTACCACCTTGTCCCCTCCCCAAGCTACCTTGTACGACACTGTCTTGCCATCTTTGTCCTTTGCCTTGATATTTGCACCTTTCTCTAGCAGCCACACCGCCGCCTCATTCCCTCCCCAAACAGCCAAATGCAGCGCCATCTTCCATTTGGAATCCTTCTCGTCCACACGGCGGCGATATCAGGGCATCCAGCTCTTTTCTGCTAGTACTGCTTTTATCCACGGTAGGATCTCTAGAGCACATGCTATATGCAGCAACGATGGACGCCCAACCTGAAGTATCCTGGCTATCTTGATATAAATCTCTTGCCAGTTTTCTCACAAAGATGAATTTTGCGGCTGCAAAAAAAGACCAAGAAGGGTCAAAGAGCTTTGCTGCGAGCGCAGAACAGCTCTCTGCATGGTCAGGCCAGTTAAAAATCGCATATCGCAACAGCGGAGACTCTCAAGGGTCTAGCTCAGCGTTTAGGTCAATAGCCCAATGCCTCAAGACGCTCTGCGCAATGCAGTCGACACATTCTTGTGCTAGCTTTAGGTGTGCGCTCTGTGCCTCTAGCCGAAATCTCTCCAGCACTGCATTGCTATCGCGCTTTCTATACAGCAGGTAGTTTCGCGTGGACTGGGGTACAAGATTGACTTCTTGCTCTTGCTCTTGCTGCACGTCCGCTTCTGCGACAGCCCGTGTATCGCGAAGCTCACCCACAGGAACGTCCCCTCAGCGCGCTCCAGGAGAGCCGTCTGTACAGATGCTCGAAAATCGTCGTTGAAACCATCGATCCTTGATAGCTCGGCGACTCGGGCAGACACAAACAGCTCAATGTTGCCGACTACCTTCTTGTCGTTGTCAGGGTCTACTCTTACTCTAACGCATCCTTGCAGGCCAGATATTTCTCGGCTGGCTATTACCAGCTTGAAGGAGCCCTTGATCGGCGATGGTGCTAAAGCAGCAAACAGGCTTATGAGTCATGGCAACAACACTCGCAGTGTGCTTTCCCCACACTCCTCGGGTCCGTTATGAACGCAGAATATCCTCCCAAGCTAGGCATCGGCAACGAGCTTGTCTAGAATGAGCCATAGCACCTCTGGAGACGATAGCGTCTGCTGCGTCCTCTCCAGCAACTCGAAGCACGGCAGTGCGTGTTCGACCAGCTGCGGCCGCTTGGCGATGATCCAGTGCACCAGTCCGCGCAGCACTGCCACGGCTGTGTTGCGCTTCTCGTCCTCTACGCTGGAAAAGAAGAAAACCAACTCTGCTTTGTCTATGCGCTCTGTATGCCTTTCCAGCTCCTCTATCAAGAAGACAGACGTCATCTTCTTAGCCTTACCTGGCCCGCCCAAGCTCCACAGCAGGCGTGTGTTGTCGTTGTCATTGCTATCACCATTGTTGCCGCCGCTCAGCCACGCACGATATTTCGCATCGCGTGTGATCCACTCGCAGACACCCGCGACTCTTGCGCCTTTTGCGCCGATCACGCGCTCGCAGTCGACGTAGCGATCGGTGAGGAAGAGCGCGTTATGACACACGATGGCCGCTTGTTCCGACGCTTCTGAAAGGTGACGATGTGAGTAACTAGCGAACTTTATGAGAGAACACTATTCACTGTACCTTCGGGACTGTGCGACGCAGCAAAGTACATGTCTCTTGCCAAACCTACGAAGGCTTGCGAGTGGTTCCGAATGGAGATACCGCTGGTGTGCCGATGGTGGGCACCTCGCTTTCAGACATTTGGGCCTAGGTTGTCCACAACGAACCCAACGCTGCTAGAGATACAATCCTACGCTTCAACGGGTATTACACTCACTTGCAGAATCAGCTTCCGGTTCAAGCACATCCTGCATTATTTCACCTTACACAGCCCCTGCACTACTAAAGCGCTTGCTCTATTATATCTAGCGGACGACACATGCTTGCGGATTCTTCTAAAATGTTCTTGGATTCATACACTGCGTCACTTTTTCGTTTACCAAGATAACTGTTTGTTAGCTTTGCTCCTAGCCGTTTTATTACCTCTTCTCCATCTTTGAAGTTTTTACCAGAGATAGCTAGCGCATGACCAATGCTTCCAAGAAAATGCCCCAATGCCAGTATTGCGAAGATATCATATTTATAATTGGCGATTCAGTTTCGTTTTCATATAAGGATGCAGAACAAGCACAACGGGCTGAATGCGAATTCTTCCGGTTGAATCTCAAAAAATGACCTGTCGAGGATGCTGTTTCATAATTGGAATAACGCGTTTCACCACCGAGTCGTCAGCTCCACCGCACCCAGCCTTTATAATACAAAATATTGCGCAACATCACCACGATTTTTCTTATTAAGTAGAACAGGATATTTTTCTTCAGACGCGTCGCTATCCTCTGTATCCTCTAATTCTACTTGGCACATACGGGAGTTGTGTCCAATTTGGCTACAACGCCCACAGCGCCGTTCACTGCGGACCCTCTTCGCAGGCGTTGCACTATTATTATAGCTACCATTCTCTGCCTTAGCAATCTGATCAGCTATCTGACCAATTGCCTGAGACCCCTCTGTCTGTACGTAGCGCCTCTTGCGAGTTTTTCGCTTTATTGCTTCATTAATTATAGCTTCAAGGCGATTAAGTTTCTCTTGCATAAGCACCGTATTATAAGCTATTTGTTAAGCTCCCTTACTTAACTGCTACATCTACTCCTTAAGAGGAGTTATAGGAGACCCTTACTGAATTTATATATAGTTTTAAAGAAGCGTAGCCTACGCCTCTATTTCGCGCGCGTTGCGCGGCATTTTCAGCTCCTAAGTGCTACTATCTTGCGCTAGTGTACACAGCACAAGGTTAAGCTATAATAAAACAACGTAATAATTATGTAGCGTAAGCCTATTACCTTAAAACTCTCTATAGATATTCTCTAGCGTAATAGCCTTATAATAGGCATTTCTCAAAGCTAGTAGGAAGGTTTCTTTGCTAATATAGTAGATAAAATTACGTACTAAGACTAAGATAGCATTAGTATACGCGCGCTTTAACGGCGAGAAGTAGGCTATATTAAGAGGCTATAAGAAGTGAGACGAATAAAGAGGCATATAGAGAAGAATTATCTTCTTCTCTTCGTAGAGATCTTAGAAATCCACTAAGTAGTAGCTCTTATAACCGTTAATAATAAGCAGCCTATGCGTTCCTATAGAGCGCGTATAGGAATCAAAGTAGCGAAGCTAGTTAAGCGCTAGATCGTTATTCGTCTAGCTAGTAGGACTAACTTAGATTACCTAGTCGCGTAGTAGATTCTCTGTGAACTAGGTAGAGATTAGAACTTTGCCTACGAAGATAAGAAATGCTGGGATACGCTTCCCTATTGCGCCAACGCCCTATATCAGCCTAACTCACTCACGATTGCCTAGTTAGATCTTCTTTATTCTTCCTAATTTGTCTATGCCCGTAACCACCAACTGTAATAAAATCTTGTCCATAATGAAGCTTGTTTTATTAAAGTTATAGATATCTCCGTCTACGATATACTTTACCTTTATATTAGTATAAACTAGCTCCAACTAGCTCTTAATAAGCGCTAGGTTTTCGCAGAGAGCTCGCTGGTGATTGTATGGACGGTTCTGGCGCGTACGTAGCTTAGGATTGCACTGGATAAACCTATCAACCTAGTTCTTGCTAATCTCCTCCCCGCCACGCTCTTGGAGCAGTCTGTTGGCTATATCTCGCACGTCGTCTCTCCTACAGGGTAGTCCTCGCTTAGTCTCAACTATTACACTCTGAGTAATAGCCTCCTCTTCTTGTTTTATTAGGCGCTTGCAGTTCGCCTCATAATCGTGTCAAGGGCGTCGTCCAGTGCGTCGAGTAGACAGAGTACTTTAAGGCACATTATAGATAGAAGTAGCACGTCTTTGGCTTTAAACACGTTGTAATTAGATATTAAAAAGAGCAAGTTGAAGATCTGCTTTAGTATAGGAAGTTAGACGAGTTTGTTATTGAGCCATTACGTGTTATAGTGTTGGCGTTGACGCGCTGGCGAGGCATAATCTGCTCGCTTAGGTGATCAGCTCGCTTTATGAACCACGTTATCGTTAACGCCTACACGCTATATATAATCTAGCCTTCTATTGTGCCTAGATATAAGCCTAAGCTATACAGTAATAAGCACAACTCATGTGACTCTATTAGATTAATAGAGTAACTCATTTAGGCTTCTAAGTGGTACTATGTGTGTAGGAAGTCACCATAGGCTTATAGCAATTGTCGCGCGCTCGTTCATAAATAATTGCCACCCTAATCTATATTTAAGATCAAAGCAGCTTCCTGATGCGGCTAGTAGTATTATCTAAATAAAACTAGCTCTCTCTATTATTATTATATAGTTGAGTATGATGAAGAAGATATCACCTATCACCATTAACAGACACCAGGAAAGGGATATGGCAGTATAGGTCTTGGCGCCATCTCCTCCGCTAGACACAAAGGAAGAATATCCTGACAACACAAAAATTATTAGCAGACTTTAAGTGCTTATAACTAGAAGAAATATCGTAAGGTACTATTGTAAGGGGCGCAACTCCTGGGAGTAGTCTTAAGCTCGGGAGCATAATCGGACAGGCTAAGATAATAAGATTGTATTCGACAGCGAGCTGAGCTCTGGTCTATGTAGCTATCTATATACTATGGTAGTTGCCTAAGCAACAATCGGGCCGGACGTGTAGAGTAAACGAGGTCGTAGACGAGGATAAGAAGCGAAGGGTGTCCAGCCCATTGCAACTATATTATATAGTGTAATGCAGCTATCGTGCATCAGAGTCATAGGCTAAAATCTCGCTCGTGTTACTGAGGCTTCTGGCCGACTCTATAGTTGTAAGGGGCTACGCCTATGTGCGTGGCTTGGCTAGGCCAAGCAAATCGAGTATATCTACGTCACTACCTTGACTTCAAGACAAGCTTAAAGTTTTTTTACTGCCTTTTTGGCAAAATGGTCGACGTAAGTAGTTGTATGTTAGGCCCAAAGAGCCCGCCTATTACAATAGTGTTATAATATACTTCAACTTATATTCATGTAATAAGCATACTAGAATAAGTAAGGGAGTAGCCACACCTTTAGTTCTATAAAACTTTTTTAGTACTCTATACTAAAAGTATTATAATATAGTACAGGTCATGTTTACGTATAAAGATTAGGAAGTAGTTAGTGCATAAGTGAAAATACGGTCATGGAGTACAGATGTGAGACATTAGCCGTGGATTTGGCACGGGTAGAGGGAAACAATAGCGGCAGGTGCCTAACGATCTGTATTCCACCTAAACGAACAGCTACCGAGCTAAGGTAGTGTCCATAGTGCTTATATATACAGTGATGAGTCAGATATGACTAAGGAGGCTTGAGAGGAGTGAATACGGTCCTAAACGGGCCGTGAAGGGCCATAAAGAGCCAGGTTCTGACAACAGAGCCTAATGTAACGATGTTACAACTTCGCCAAGTATCGGACCAATCCCAGAGCCGGATCGGAGGTAGCATTCGCCGCCCTCTTCATCAACCACTCGGTGTGAGGTCGAATCCGATTCGGATCCGACTAAGATAAGTATATAAGGAGACACTTCCTGTAGCTAGCTCTGTAGACTTCTGATATCCTTTCGTACAAGGCCTATAGGTGTCTATTCAAATCAAGGCTCGTTTGATGTCCCACGCACTCCCATATGCCTCTGAGTGACACTACCGCCAATACTGATCCGAGTAGTCTTGCCTGCGCCGTTACACCTAATGGAAAAGATATTTAGAGTCTCTATAATATGTAACACCTCTTCTATAATTATAGCAATAATGCGGCGCTAGATAAGACATAATCAGAGATAGAGAAGAATTAAGAGTTCTATAGAACGCATAGTTCTATAAGTGTACTAGGTTATAGTATATAGCACTAATGAACTCTGTAAAAAGTGCCTTATTGGGCTTTGCACTACCTGTAATAGTGGTTGAGTATCCCTCTACAACGAATCACTGAAATTATTAACGCACTTTACACTATCAGCATATGAGTAGATAGATAGATAGAATAGGTCGAGCTTATTTACGCCCTTGATTTCTTCCGCTATCTAATAATTAGTTTGCACAGCAAAATTATAACAATCCTAGATATATATTGATGTAAGCTATGCAGCTGTCACAAGGTTGAACTTCATTACTAATGCTGGCCACTGATTGACTAATATCCATCCATTCGTAAGGGAACAACCGCCGTAACGGAACAACATCCTCTTCTTTGCTACGTAGAAAGTGCCAACACGATCGTATAAGAGTATATATAATGTGAATTAACAGTTTAGCTAGTCTCACGTACCTTATCCCATCCAAAGTCGAAAATTACAGCATTCTTGAGCTTGTTGCCAAAGGTTCTGTTCGCGACGATTATTCGCGTCTCCGCTGTTTGCCCCTGCTAGGTCGCAAAAGATAACACATTCTAACGTTTCGGAACTATAGCGCGAATGCTCTACCAAGAAGGTCCTCGATATAAAGCTCTAATGGCATATCGCATCTGTGGTGAAAAATCCGAGAGTATATCCGATCGAGAGAGAGATTGGAACAGAGCTTGGTAAGCGTGCTAAGTCAGCATGTAATAAAAAACGCGCCATCCTCTATATAGTTTCCACAACTGTCTCGTGCTATTTTTAACTCACGTTTGTCCGCCGCAGCGAGCCGTTCATGTTCGCGCTGTGTGCCATGCATCAACATCACCACAGTAAGTAGCTATGGATCCAGCCAGCCTGGCCCTAGCGCAGAGCCTGCCCATGAGTGTGCGTAGGACCTATACTGCTCTGGCAGAATACAGCGATGTCCCTATATCTCGTACCACTGTATGATATCGTGCGAAGGGATGACCGTCGCAATGGACGGAGGCCCAACGCCAGCAGTACCTAACGCCCTCGGAAGAGTTGGCCTTTGTCCGGCACATAATTAAATCAGCGGCTCTCAGATTTCCCTTACGGATCAAGGATATACCTTCCTTAGCCTTCAGTATCGCCCGCCGGCGATTCGCGACGAAAGCGATCAAGCCGCCGAACAAGAACTGGCCTCAGGCCCTCGCAAAGCGCCATCCAGAACTCGTGCGGAGGAACAACATGGCGATGGACTAGAATCGTCATGACAACAACATACACCATAAGGTAACACATTAGTTTGAGGTGATTGGACCAGAGCTTTGTAGACCCGACATACTGCCAGAGAACGTGTACAACATGGACGAGACAGGAGTGATGCTTTCTATGCTAGGCTCTATTAAAGTTCTAGTAGGTAAGAATAATCGAAGAGACTATAGAGGTGCCGGTGTAAAGCGGACGATGGTGACTGCCGTTGAGTGCGTGTCGGTAAGTGGTGAGTGTCTAAACCCAATGATTATCTGGCCAGCCTCTACCCATCGGAGCAACTGGACGACGTACCTGACCCCGGGATGGGTCTATGCATTCTCGGAGTCTGGCTACAACGACTCCTACCTTAGCTTAGAGTAGATGAAACGAGTGTTCGACCACCAAACCAAAGCACGAGCTAACCAGAAACCACGAATGCTAATATGTGACGGCTTTGGCACACACGAGACTCTTGAAATACTAGAGTTCTGTTTTAAAAATAACATTACTCTATGCCGACTTCCCTCTAATACCTCTCACAAGCTCCAGCCCTGCGATGTTGCGGTCTTTGCTCCACTAAAGACCGCTTATCGTGACCAGGTAGAACGGCTATACCGAGGCGGTATGACTGCGATAAACAAGGAGCACTTCACAGCTCTATACTACCCTGCAAGAGAGCGGGTAATGACTATGAAGAACATCCTCGCAGGATGAGCCAAATCTGGTTTGTCCCCTTTTAACCCAGATAGAGTACTTAGAGACATCGCAAAGCCAGTCTCCGCCGCACTTACCCTATTGCCTATCCGTGCAGCCTGCGACGAGAGTGGATCTCAACTACAACACGAAGCCGTCTAGGCACCAGTGACTCCAGTATCGTCAGAGGCTCTTGCGTCGCTGCTTACCCTAGTCAAGCAAAATCTTCACGACGAGATAAGTACAAAGCGACATCGGAAGCTCGTGCAAAGCTCGCCAACGCTGCCGAAGTATCCTTTGCCCAGCAGGCCCTTGATCAACATCAGATTTAGCTTCTATCGAAGATGAATGACGAAGCTAGAACTCGCCGGAGGACAAAGTCGGAGATCATTGGGAAGGGGAAGGCGAAGGTGATGAGCTACGAAGACATCGAAGCAGCATGAGCGAAGCGTGCTGAGCAGGAGGCGAACAAACAAGCACAAGGCAAGAGAAAACATAGTCTGCCGAAGCGGATTGCAGTAGAAGCAGTGGTAGAGCAGGAGGCAGAGGCCACCACAGACAAGGGAGCACGTAAGAAGCCTTGGCGCTGCAGGTAAGCGTAACACCCGTTGCAGAAAAGAGCGTACCGCAACCTTATAGAGCCCCAGTCACGCGCATGTGGTAGCAGAGGTTGATGTTAAGAGATTATTCGCTCAGACCTAAGCCCTGTGTGACCTGTATACCTGTAGCAATGTCTGTCCTACATCCTGTAGTTAAGAAACCCCTCATGGAGATTCAATGTCATCTGCGCACCTCACTACTCGTGTCGCGCTAGACGTGGATTACTTCATGGCTACAGCCTTATGTCCGACATTCAGGTGCATGCACTCAGCCATGCCTACCCCGCCCAAGCTGTGATGCGACACCCTCATCACACTTCACAGCAGCGAGCGCCCGCCTTAGCTTAGAATGCGATCGCAGTCTGCAGCTCTGTGATGTGATAGTACAGTACGGTGTACCACTGTGCTTCCTTTTCCTATCGCTAATGCTTAGGGCGCGAAGGCCCTGCTAGACAGTCTCGTCGCGTTTTGTTCCTGCTACATGCCCCCCGACCCTGCACCCGTACAAAGCGATGCGTCTTCTCAAGTATGGAGAAAAAGAAGACCTCTCTATCGCCGAGTTTAATGAAGACACAAAGCCGCCGTATGCGATACTTTCCCATAGGTGGGGAACGGAAGCGGACGAGGTAACCTTCGAAGACGTGGTAGGGAACACGGCCAAGAACAAGCCTGGCTATGCGAAAATTCGCCTCTGCGGGGAACAAGCACAGCGAGATGGCTTGCAGCACTTCTGGGTCGATACTTGCTGCATCAACAAGGCAAACAAGGCTGAGCTGTCGCTGGCTATTCAATCTATGTTTCGCTGGTACCGCGACGCAGCGCGATGCTACGCCTACCTGTCAGACGTCTGTTTGTCGTCTTCTGAAGCGGATAAGACATCAAAGGCGCCGGCCTGGGAAACAGACTTCCGCAGAAGTGAGTGGTTCGTCCGTGGCTGGACGCTCCAGGAGCTTCTCGCACCAAGCTCGGTCGATTTCTTCACACGAGGTTGGGAGAAGCTCGGTGACAGGAGATCACTAGGGCACCAGGTCCACGAGGTCACCGGCATTCCGCATTTAGCGCTGCATGGAGCTGCGTTATCTCAATTTAGCATCAACGAGCGGTTGCGGTGGGGTGAATATCGGCATACCACACTTCCAGAAGACAAAGCGTACTCACTATTAGGTATTGTCGATGTTGACTTGGCGCCATGCTATGGCGAAGGTCTGGATGGAGCGTTTAGGCGACTTCACGACGAGATCGATAAGACAAAACGATGCATCCAAGACTTACGCGACACAGACTCGCGTGACGACAAGAAGCGCATTGAGGATACGAAGGGCGGGTTGCTAAAAGACTCGTACCGTTGGGTCCTTCACAACAATAGTTTCCGACAATGGCACGAAGACCCGCAGAGCCGACTGTTATGGATTAAGGGTGACCCTGGCAAGGGCAAGACGATGCTGCTCTGTGGTATTATCGACGAGCTGCAAAGTTCGATGCCCCAAAGTGGCCTACTGTCGTACTTCTTCTGTCAAGCGACCGATAGGCGCATTAATAGCGCCACAGCTGTGCTACGAGGGCTGTTGTACATGCTCGTGAGCCAGCAACCATCGCTTGTATCGCATGTCCGCAAAAAGTACGATCACGCGGACAAGAACATGTTCGAGGATGCAAACGCGTGGGTTGCCCTGGCAAAGATCTTCACGGACGTGCTGCAGGATCCGAGCTTGACCACTACGTACCTGATCGTCGACGCGCTAGACGAGTGCGTCACTGACCTGCCAAAGCTGCTTGACTTTATCGCAAAGCAGTCGTCTGCCTCTTCTCGCGTCAAGTGGATCGTCTCTAGCCGTAGCTGGCCAGAGATAGAGGGACGCCTAGAGCAGACAGGCCACAAGCTCAGGCTGAGCCTTGAGCTAAATGCAGCATCTGTGTCGATGGCGGTCCAAGTCTTTATCGATCAAAGGGTCTCTGAGCTCGCGCAGCAGAACAAGTACGACGAGCCGACTAAGCGCGCTATACTCGAGCATCTAGCATCAAATGCGAACGACACCTTCCTCTGGGTGTCGCTGGTGTGTCAGCATCTTCGAGCGACGGCAAAGCGAAACGTTCTGAGGAAGCTAAAATTGTTCCCGCCTGGACTGAACGCCCTGTACGAGCGGATGATGCAGCAAATTAGCAAGATAGACGATGCCGAGCTCTGCAAGCAGGTGCTAGCTGTGGTCACACTCGTGTATCGGCCAATTACGCTCGAGGAGCTGGTGACCCTTGTCGAACCGCTTGAAGACGTAGCCGACGACTTAGAATTACAGGATATTATTAGCCTTTGCGGCTCGTTCCTCACCCTGCGAGAGCAGACTGTGTACTTCGTGCACCAGTCAGCTAAGGACTTTCTCCTTACCGAGGCAGCTCAAGACGTTTTCCCAGCCGGACTAGAGGCCGCCCATCAGGCCATCTTCGCTAGATCACTTCAAATCATGTCCACGACCCTGCGACGGGACATGTATAGCCTTAAAGCACTAGGCACACCTATCAACGACATTAAAATGCCTGATCCAGACCCGCTAGCAGCATTGCGTTACTCGTGTGTTCACTGGGTCGACCATCTATGCAACTCAAGCCCTACAGCTTCCGCAGCCTATGCAGAATGTCTACGAGATAGAGGCATTGTAGATAGATTCCTAAGGGAAAAGTTTCTATATTGGCTGGAGTCTCTCAGCCTTTGCAAGAGCATGTCGAAAGGCGTAGTCTCAATGAAGGAGATACAGATGTTAGTGCAGGTGTGTCTACAACAAGTGATCTGCAAGACATCCTTTATACTGACAGTAGCTAGGGACAGGGGAAGGCAACTTTATTTACTCAGCTTGTGTATGATGCATATCGATTTGTTATGTACCATAAACAAGCAATTGAAAGTAGCCCCCTTCAGGCATATGGATCTGCGCTGTTGTTTAGTCCAAAGCAGAGTTTAGTAAGGAGACTATTTCAGCACGAAGACCCAAAGGGTATCATACTCAATCCAGGCATGAGCAACGGGTGGAGTGCGTGCCTGCAGACACTCGAGGGTCATAGCGAGGTGGTCACCTCCGTGGCCTTCTCGCACGACTCGAAGCGGCTAGCCTCAGCATCGTGGGATAGGACTATCAAGATATGGGATGCGAGCAGTGGCGTATGTCTACAGACGCTTGAGGGCCATAGTGAGGCAGTCGCCTCTGTGGCCTTCTCGCATGACTTGATGCGGCTAGCCTCAGCGTCGTGGGACAGCACTATCAAGATATGGGATGCGAGTAGTGGCACATGTTTGCAGACGCTTGAGGGCCATTACTATTGGACTAACTCCGTGGCCTTCTCGCGCGACTCGACGCGGCTAGCGTTAGCGTCGTGGGACAACACTATTAAGATCTGGGATGGGAGCAGTGGCGCGTATCTGCAGACGCTTGAGGGCCATAGCAATATAATTAGCTCCATAACCTTCTCTCACGACTTAACACGACTAGCGTCAGCGTCGTGGGATAGGACTATCAAGATATGGGATGCGAGCAGCGGCATGTGTCTGCAGACGCTCAAGGGCCATATTGATGTAGTCACTTCTGTGGCCCTCTCACACAACTCGACGCAGCTAGCCTCGGCGTCTGACGACAGGACTGTCAAGATATGGGACATGAACAGCGGCGCGTGTCTGCAGACGCTTGAGGGCCATAGCGATATAATCACCTCTGTGGCCTTCTCTCACGACTCGATGCGGCTAGTCTCAGCGTCTAAAGACAGCGCTGTTAAGATATGGGATGCGAGCAGCGGTGCGTGTCTGCAGACGCTCAACGTTGACGAGCCTCTTCTCAACTTATCATTCGATGCTACTGGCTCGTGTCTCTTTGCCAAAATTGGATCTATCAGTATTAGTGCATCTATGAGTTTTAGTACAGAGGATGTTACAGTACCTCAATGCCCACAGTACCTAGACCTGGGCATTAGCTTAGACAATACATGGATTACACGTAATGGTAAGAACTTGCTCTGGATACCTCCCGAGTATCGACCATCATGCTTATCTGTGTGGGGGGATAGGATTGGCATAGGTGTTAGATCAGGGAGAGTATGGATCTGTAGTACTAACTTTTAAATATTTTCCTAGCTAGTTAGTTGTATGTACTTATGAGCACGTACGAAGAGTCTATTAACTTCGTTTCTTTACATTCTCTTTTCTTTTAATTTATGTTTTACATAGAGAGACAGAGATGCTTAGGATCTATATGCAGTGATTTTGCTACATCGAAGTTTTAGGAGACTTCAACGAAGTTTAACAGTCACGCTCTAATAACATCAAGTTAGTGGTCACGTGCCAGCGCTAACAACATTAACAGAGTTTTCCTAAGCATAACAAGTAGGAACGGGTAGTAAGCTTTGCTTGTTGCGGCGTATAGCAGTTCACACAGTTTCTTTTACCTGCTACATACGAAGGAGCGCGTAACGGGTGTTGCATTGCACAGGCTACATCCGTCAGTCAAATGCAGAGCGTGATCAGCCGCACCTTACCCCGCGCAAATCCCATTCGCACAGCTCCCCACACTGAGGACATGGCAAGGAAGACAGCTTCAACTTGCAGCACTGTTACGGTATCTTTCTCACTGGTTCGATTCTGGGTACAGTACACTATGCCGTCTCCTCTTCTTTTGCTTACCTAGTTGGTAGGTTCAACAACTGACCGGCCACTGTGCCGTATTCCCACTACGGAAGGCTGCCACGTAGGCCATATATACCAAGATCGTACCACATGCACCCGTCACATCACATCCGCACAGAAGTATGCGGCTTTTACGTCGTACTCACAACGGCGAACTCAGCATCACCAACGACATAGTGGACGAGGATGCAATTCCTCCCTATGCGATACTTTCTCACACCTGGGGAGCAGAAGCGGACGAGGTTACCTTCGACGACTTAGCAAGTGGTTCTGGTAAAACAAAGCCTGGCTATAGGAAGGCCCGTTTCTGTGGGGAACAGGCATGGCGAGATGGCCTAGAGCATTTTTGGGTTGACACCTGCTGCATTCATAAGGCAAACAAAGCTGAGCTTTCCCATGCTATTAACTCCATGTTCCGTTGGTACCGCAACGCAAGTCGATGCTACGTCTACTTGGCAGATGTCTCCAGCCGTACCCCTGCGATGGACAAAGAAGAAAGTCATCCGCCGCTGTGGGAATTGGAGTTTCGGCGAAGCAGATGGTTTACTCGGGGTTGGACGCTCCAAGAGCTTTTAGCTCCGGACGTGGTCGAGTTCTTTGCCCACGATTGGGAGAGGCTCGGTGATAAGACGCTGCTGTGCCAAAAAATCCATGAGATCACAGGTATCTCGAAAGCAGCGCTCCAGGGAGCTCCTCTAACCCAGTTTAATGTCGAGGAACGCCTGTCGTGGAACGTACACAGGCATACTAAGCTCGAGGAAGACAGAGTATACTCATTGCTGGGCATCTTCGATGTCTATCTATCTCCTTTCTATGGCGAAGGAGCAAGCAAAGCGCGAGACCGGCTCACGGATCAAATTGACAAGCGAAATCGGTGTATGCAAGACTTGCGTGACACAGATCCGCGTAATGACAAGAAACGCATTGAGGAGACTAAGGGAGGCCTGCTAACGGATTCATACCGCTGGATTCTGGACAATGCCAGCTTTGAGCAATGGCTCAACAAGCCGCAGAGCCGGCTGCTGTGGATCAAGGGTGATCCTGGGAAAGGCAAGACGATGCTGCTCTGCGGCATCATCGACGAGCTGCAAAGTTCGATGCATAGAACTGCTCTTTTATCGTATTTCTTCTGCCAAGCGACCGACTCGCGCATTAACAGTGCTACAGCTGTGCTGCGGGGACTTCTGTACATGCTTGTTAGCGAGCAGCCGTCGCTTGTCTTGCACGTTCGCAAGACGTACGACCATGTGGGCAAAAATTTATTCGAGGACGCAAACGCCTGGGTTGCTCTAACGGAGATATTTACAGACGTGCTACAAGATCCAAACCTAAAAGCTACATATTTAATCATCGATGCGCTAGATGAGTGCGTTATCGGCTTACCGATGCTGCTCAACTTTGTCTCAAAACAGTCATCTGCGTCGTCCCGTATCAAGTGGATTGTCTCTAGCCGCAACTGGCCGGTGATCGAAGAACGGCTAGATCAGGTAGACCACAAAGTAAAGCTGAGCCTAGAGCTAAACACAGAGTCCGTGTCGGCGGCTGTTAGCGTATACATCAAGCAGAAGGTGTCTCAGCTAGCGCAGCACAAAAAGTACGACGAGCAGACTAAAGACGCCGTGCTGAAATATCTAATGACAAATGCGCACGATACTTTCCTCTGGGTAGCGTTGGTGTGTCAGAGCCTTGAAGCGACGTCAAAACGTCACGCGCTAAAGAAGTTAAGCTCGTTTCCGTCTGGACTGGACTCCCTGTACGAGCGGATGATGCAGCAGGTGAGCAAGTCAGACGATGCTGAGCTCTGCAAGCAGTTGCTAGCTTCTCTTGCGCTCGTGTACCAACCGGTCACGCTGCAGGAGCTGACGGTCCTTGTCGAACAGCTAGATGACTTAGTTGACGACACAGAATCGATACGAGAGGTAGTCGGCCTTTGTGGCTCGTTCCTTACCCTGCAAGAAGAGACCGTCTACTTCGTTCATCAGTCGGCCAAAGAATTTCTACTCGCCAACGCAGCTGGAGAAGTGTTCCCGCGTGGAAGAGAGGATGTCCATCACACCATCTTTGCTAGATCACTCCAAAACCTATCAATGACCCTGCATCGAGACATGTACAGCTTAAAAGCACTTGGACACCTTATTGAGGATGTCAGACAGCCAGACCCTAATCCGTTAGCAGCATCGCGTTACTCGTGTGTCTACTGGGTGGACCATCTGTGCGACTCACATCCCATATCTTCAGTGAGCTATGCGGACGATATCCAGGACAACGGCGTTTTGGACGTGTTTCTCAAGGAAAAGTACCTATACTGGCTAGAAACTCTTAGTCTTTGCATGAGTATGCCGAAAGGCGCGCTATCGATGACAAAGCTACTCGCGCTGGTTCAGGTATATTCACAATGGGCACTGTAGTCAAATTGTTTCTGTGCTGACAAAACTAGGGATGTGAAAAGACAACTTTACTTACTGAGCTTGTTTATGATGCGCGCCGATTCCTTATGTACCATAAAGGAGCCATCGAGCGCAGTCCACTTCAAGCATATGCATCTGCGTTATTATTCAGTCCAACAGCGAGCTTGGTGAGAAAGTTATTCCAGCATGAAGAGCCAAAATGGATCACTATCAAGTCGGCTATGGGCGACGGCTGGAGCGCGTGCCTGCAGACGCTCGAGGGTCACAGCAGGTATGTCAACTCAGTGGCCTTCTCACACGACTCAACGCTGCTGGCATCAGCGTCTAGCGACAGGACTGTCAAACTCTGGGATGCGGATAGCGGCGAATGTCTGCAGACCCTCAGGGGCCATAATCACTCTGTCATTTCAGTGACCTTCTCGCACGACTCGGCCTGGCTGGCGTCGGCGTCACATGACAATACGATCAAGATCTGGGATACGAGCAGCGGTGCATGCCTGCAGACGCTCAAGGGCCATAGCAGTGGTGTCATCTCTGTGGCCTTCTCGCACGACTCGGCCCAGTTGGCATCGGCGTCGGGTGACATCACCGTTAGGATCTGGGACGCGAGCAGCGGTGCATGTCTGCAGACGCTCGAAGACCATAGCGACTTTGTCAGCTCAGTGACCTTCTCGCACGACTCGGCCTGGCTGGCGTCGGCGTCACATGACAATACGATCAAGATCTGGGATGCGAGCAGCGGTGCATGCCTGCAGACGCTTAGGGGCCATAGCGATATACTCACCTCTGTGGCCTTCTCTCACGACTCGATGCGGCTAGTCTCAGCGTCTAACGATAGCGCTGTTAAGATATGGGATACGAACAGCGGTGCATGCCTGCAAACACTCAAGGGCCATAGCAGTGGTGTCATCTCTGTGGCCTTCTCGCACGACTCGACCCGGCTGGCATCTGCGTCCGACAATACCATCAAGATCTGGGATGCGAGCAGCGGCGCGTGCCTGCAGACGCTCGAGGGCCATAGCGAGTGGGTTAGCTCAGTAGCCCTCTCACACGACTCAACACGGCTAGTGTCAGCGTCGGGGGATAACACTGTCAAGATCTGGGATGTGCGCAATGACAAGTACATACAGACGCCTAGAGATCATAGCAATGATGTTTATTCAATGACCTTCTCACACGACTCGACACGGCTAGCATCTGGGTCAAAGGACTGCACTATTAAGATCTGGGATGCGAACAGCGGTGCATGCCTGCAAACACTCAAGGGCCATAGCAGTGGTGTCATCTCTGTGGCCTTCTCGCACGACTCGACCCGGCTGGCATCTGGGTCAAAGGACTGCACTATTAAGATCTGGGATGCGAGCAGCGGCGCGTGCCTGCAGACGCTCGAGGGCCATAGAGAGTGGATTAGCTCAGTAGCCCTCTCGCACGACTCAACACGGCTAGCATCTGGGTCAAAGGACTGCACTATTAAGATCTGGGATGCGAGCAACGGCGCCTGCCTGCAGATGCTCGAGGGGCATAACAATCATGTCACGTCAGTGGCCTTCTCGCACGACTCGGCGCAGCTGGCATCTGCGTCGATGGATTGGACTGTGAAAATATGGAATGTTAATAGTGGCGGATGCCTGCAGACACTCAAGGGCCATGGTAGCACGGTCAACTTAATAGCCTTCTCGCACGACTCGACACGGCTGGCGTCGGCGTCGCGTGACAACACTGTCAAAATCTGGAATGCGAGCAGCGGCGCATGCCTGCAGACGCTCGAGGGCCATAGAGAGTGGATTAGCTCAGTAGCCCTCTCACATGACTCAACACGGCTAGCATCAGCGTCGTACGATAACAGGGTCAAAATATGGGATACAAACAACGGCACGTGCTTACAAACCTTAAACATTGGCAGGAAAACATCTAAGTTATCCTTCGATCCTACTAGCTCTTGTCTCTACACTGAGATAGGTACTATCGTTATTCGGAACTCAGAAGTTTCTACTAGCATAGGAGTTATTGCAGAACCTCAACGCCCTACGTATCTAGGCCCAGGTCTTAGTTCCGACAGCATATGGATCAAGCATGCTGGCAACAACATCCTGTGGGTGCCATCAGAGTATCGACCATCATGCTCGTCTGTGTGCGGGACTTTGGTTGGTATAGGTGCTGGATCTGGAAGAGTATGGACTTGCAGAATCGACCTTTAACGACTTTAACAAGCAAGCATTCATTCGTCTTTTCTATACCTTATCTTGTCGTTGTCTCTATTTTTTGGGAAGGGAACGAGGATGCAAACGGATAGGTAAGTTAGACTAGTTATATATCGCTACATCTAAGCATCGAGAGCCTACGAGGGAGCGGCTATCGCTGTCTGGTGTCACAGAAACGAATTCTAGGCATGTAATGCTTCCTTTTGCCTCGTGAGTTGGTATTGTCACTGTACACCACCGCGCTCGTTTTCTAGGTCGATATTAGTGGTGATGAGGGCGGTGAAGAACATCGAGCGAGCGGCCAACGACGATCTCGCACGTTCAGATTCTAAGTATAGCCACGAGATGGATGTGAGCCTGAGCAGAAGCTTTGAGAAGCATGCACTATAGTATAAGCTGTTTCAGCATAGCGTAGTGTATAATGCAGGCCGTTAAATATAATTATAGTAGTGCTCGCTAAACATGCCTAACCCAAAATTACAGTCACGTAGATATCTCCCATCCTTATTTACGAAGGTACCAACCGTTCAAGCAAAAATAGCACTCTACAGGCATTAGCGATTACGGTTTCACCCCTGCGGACAGCATTCTAAAAGTACAGTCGTCATTGGATCGACCATTGACCGATCACGACGACCGCTTTGCAGCGAACATCTCGCGCTAAGCCACATACGAAAGGCGTTGCTGTGCAGAACCGCAGCGTAGCTGCATGTAGGGGTGAAGCCTCAATCGCTAATGCCTGTAGACCCTTTCAAGACAACATCATTCAGTAGATGAATTAGGCATTAAGTATTATGCTAACCTTAGAGGCTTGTTACTATGCCATGCCTGTGGCCAAGTTTAGTTGTTAGGGGGTAAGCGCAATTTTTAGTCTGTAAACATCACGTGCAGGGGGCCCTAACGCGATTTAGAGCGAAGTTACTAATAGGATAATACTGCTAACACGTATTACAAAAGATCTGAGAGGATGGTTAACTAGCGGCGGGTGCGAAGGACTGAGTTTCAGTACTGTTCTTTTGTAGACGAGGCATAGTAACATAGTAATAGTAGTAATGGGTACTGTAGGGTGCCGTACGGAAGTTTATAGGAACGGTACGGAATATAGATTCTCCGATAGCGTTGCACGAGAACGCACGAACAGAAAATACCAAGTTTGTACCCCCGTTTTAACATCATGTAAAAGTCGTACAGAAAAATGGAATACAGGATTAGATTCTAGCAGTATTAACGATTTATTTTGTACTAACTTTAGGTCCTGTAAGTAGGTAGTTGTCCAGTTTGGTTTTGTGTGTTTATCTTATTAATTAATGTAACGGCGCAGGCAAGACTACTCGGATCAGTATCGGCAGTAGTGTCACTCAGAGGTATATGGGAGTGCGTGGGATATCAAACGAGCCTTGATTCGAATAGACACCTATAGGCCTTGTACGAAAGGATACCAAAAGTCTACAGAGCTAGCTACAGGGAGTGTCTTATTATATACTTATCTTAGTCTGATCCGAATTGGATCCGACCTCACAACGAGTGGTTAATGAAGAGGGCGGCGAATACTACCTCCGATCCGGTTCTGGATTGGTCCGATACTTGGCGAAGTTGTAACATCGTTACACATTAGCTTCTAGAGCTCTTCTCTAAGTTCTTTACTAAATATCTCGCGAGCTACTACTGGGCTAAACTACTGTTAAGATTCAATACGTAGCTAGTTAAACTCTGAGACGTAGTTATGTATTAGCTATCCTCCTTGCTTTAAGTGCCGAAGCTTATTTAGCGCTCGTTACTATTAGTGTACGTCTTGGAAATAGATGTCTATATGCTCTTATAGACCGATAGTTATTCGCTTTTTATTCTTAAGTACTTAAGAGAGAAGGATCTAGTTTGCCTTGTCCTTCGTTCGGCTGAGCACGTATTAGACCTTCGCGTTCTCTGTTAGAAATATAGTATAGTTATAATTTAGCTTTCGTACTTAAATTTCTAGCCTAGGTAGTTATTACGTATCCTATTAAAACGCTCTAGGTTAGAGAACTTATTCTTGCGGGTCGCTAGCTCGGCGACTAGTGTTAATAGTAGTAGAGGGGTGTTGGTGTTACACGGGGTATGGGTCTATACTTCTCTATCCTGGTCCGCACTAAGGCAGGTGAGTATTACGTTAGTGTTCCGTGAGGCTTGTCTGGCGATACAGTGGAGTTGGCGTGCTTAAGGAGGGTTTGACAAGACTAATCTATTCGATAGACTAACTTGTGACAATCTTGTTAAGTAAATTATTATTATTATTATTTTGGTTTTACGTCCTGTCTCAGCCGGTGGGCTATATAAGACGTGCAGGCTAGGCCCGCAAGTATCTACGTAGTGCTATCACTTTGGTGTAGGTGGGGGAGGGGGCTATCTAAATCGAGGTGAGGCTCGTAGCCTAGTCTAGAGGGAGGTAGAAGGGGGTCTTGCGGGTAAAAGAGAGAGGTAGGGTGGGTGTAGGGCGAGGCCACCTAGTATAGGTGTTGCCCTAGTTCTCGAGGTTTCCTTTGTGCCAGGCCTGTGTTGCAGCCCTAGTTTCTTCAATAAAGGCAATAGTAGCCTGTATGCCTACGCTCGTGTTTAGCAGGAAGGCTAGCGATAGGGGGTCCTTGCTCGCCTCCTGCATCTTTATCCTAGCCTCCTTATATAGCGTACAGCTAAGGAGGATATGGGTAGGATCTTGAGTAGCTCTATAGTTGCAGGGGCAAACTTTAGAGTCTACTTTGTCTCGCGTAAAGAGAAAGTCTCTTAGGTAACAGTGGCCTAGCTTAAGT